TGACAAAAAATCCTTGTGCATATCACATAAAGCCAGCTAATAATTGCATGATCCGACAGTAAGTTAGCTGAATTTCCGCCAAGAGGAAAATTTCCTTACCCTTGAAGCGCTGCAGGCTGATTGCTGGCGGTGTTGATGTGGAATATGCTTTACTCTGCCTCGAACCCAATCTTTGTTTAGACTTCTTCCGCTAAAATTCAAATGGACGAAATGTTCCTCAGTTTAACACAACACTCGTTCTTAACAAAAGTCAAACGTGAAAAAAAACTGAACATAAATTACTGAACCGAGGCAACGCTGCTTTTAGAATAATAATAGTATAAACAAAACCTGGGAAAGAAATTTCTGTGTGTGACCGAGGTAGACGGGTTGGGAATTTGCCAACTCTGGGCGTATACAGCGCAAACTGATGGTGTAACAGAAGCATATTGAACTGGGACCGCCATTTTGTAGTTGCCATACTTACAGACTTAATGTTTCATGGCTCATTTGTTTCAATTCACCGGTTGCTATTCTATTCCATGAATCACCCTTTTAGAAATTCTTTGCATGTCTGGTCTCGAGGGAAACGAAGTGCTTACTGACTGTCATCGATATGAAAACAATCAATAACTGATCGCGATTAACCGAGCAGTGCCGATTGTGTACGATTGTTTCCGAAGACAGTCTACCCGCCTGATCGCAGGTTAAAAAGGCTGTTCCATATGGAGTTACATGTAAAATCCAATAATGAAAGATACTTCCAAAAAAATTAAGTGAGGATTGATATGATTAAAAATAAACATTTTTCAAAAATTTTGAGTTTTCAAAGTAGAAAATATATATATATCTCTCTCTCTCCCGATAATAACTAACCGGCTCAGATTTCTAATAATGCTTGTGGTCCTTTCCACTATCAATATTAGGAGTTGAAAAAAGTACTCAAAACTTTCCTTCAGAATCACTAAATGAAAAACTTCGAAAAATCGGCTATTAAACCGCCACAAATGTAAGTGTACTGTTGTTTAATAACAATAAAAGAACAGACTCAGCTTACTAGGTCAGTGAAATTGACTTGTCACAGGCACTTTAATTTTCTACATTTCGAACGAGTGGCTTTATTAACAGGGTGAAATTATCAAGAATTCTTCTGTTTGGGATTTTAAAATGTGGCTGCTGGCCGTATTAATCGGTGACCGTCAGTTAACGAGGGTTTTTTTTTATATATATGATATATAAGGGAATGTATGGCCGTTTTGCCGGGCCGAAAAGAAACGGCCGTAATAACGAGATGACCGTATTGCCAAGGAAACCCACTGTGAAGAAGCAATTTCTTGATCATCAGTCTCTTTTTCAGCTTACCGCGTGGTTGGTTTAGGGAAAAGGGACCGGCAGCAGCGGCAAAGCTTCGACAGGTGCGGTTCGCGCTCATTTGCGCGCTCCTCAACAAAGCGGTCTGACGCAAATCGGCTTGCCTAGCTGCTTGCCTTCTTTTACTTTTCACATAACAGCGGCAGATAATATTGACAATTACAAGCTTGAAATCAGCAAGCAACAACAGGCTCCTACAACAAGACTAACCTAAATTAAATATTCCAGTTCCTTGCATCTATCGTTGAAAGCAGTTGTCAAAACAATCATATGCTGTAACAAATAACAACCGATAAGCCGATGAGAAACTTGAAAACTTGGATGTTTTATCTCGCAACGCTTCAGCGCCACTTAGAAATGTTAATTCAGTCAAATCTATCAATCACAGAGCCGAAAAAATAGGAAGTTTATTTAATTTCCGCCTAAGAGGGAATTACCCCACAAAAAATTCAAGGTATTGAAAAAAATTTAGTACGTCAGTGTTAAAAAAAAAAACAAAAACAAAAAACAGAGTGAAGGTTTACAAGAGAGGAGCTTTATGCTTTCGTTTATGAGGTGGCAGTAAGACCTCAACTACAATTCATATTCTTCAGCAAATGTTTCGAAAACTCTGTGAGTTTGTTTGAAATTAAACGTTTCTGTGGTACTCGAACGGTCGGGTTTATTATTGATATTAATAAGGTTGTCAAGCGTGAAGTGATGATTAATCATGTCTGAAACTTAGTCAGCAAATAGCCTAACGCTTGCTTGCTCGCTGTCACTTTCGTTGAGGAATTCAGGGACTCGGGGTTAAAGCTCTGAACGGCAGCGTCATTGCACGCTCATCAGTCTCTTAACACTGGAACTTTTGTCCAATTAACAGCAGAATGGCCAACAGAATGATTTCAGACAGAATATCACTGACAGTCGCTATTTGTTTATTCCTCGTTACAATTTCAGGTTTGTTACTGAGTTCGATCTCGGCAGACTAAAAGCTGGCTATTCGAACAGAATAGAGAGAAGCAAAATTGATTCTCACCATGAAATCTGTAGTATGATTTGGCTCAAATTTCTTGAGTAGAATAGTTAGACTTACATCAGTAAATGATAAAGGGTTAGGGTTAGGGTTGTAGAAAGATACATTTGCGGTTGGATTCAAACCTATGCTATATAACGAGCGAGTAACTTAATGCTTTTCTAATGTACTGTAACTGCATGCTAAGGAGAAAGAACAAAGTTTTCTTAAGAAGACCTTTTTTGTTTGCTTAGACATTTTTAAACTACCTAAACGGCAGAGAACTTGCAAGTTGCGTGTAACTCTTCGTACAATTCTGAGTAATCAGAGCCGCAGGTTCAAGGAATAAAATTCAATCGTAGTAAAAAACTACATCTTGAAACAAAAGTGGCTTTGCATTACAAGAAGTTTACGAACATGTCATTTGGTGCTCTAAATATAGCCTTCTTAGCTCATATAGCCTGGTTCAGATATATAGTTCTATTTATGAACGAAGTTTCGAACGTGAAAACTAATTTCTGTGACTGACTGAAAAGACAACATAACATTCGAGTCAGATAGTTTTCGAAACTCTTCATTTCATATACCAAATACGTCGTAATTAGCTTGTTTGAGTCTAACTTCAAATCTTTACGGGCAGTGTTGAAGGGAGAAAGTGACAGAGTTAATAGGTTTTCGGAGAGTTTGATCTGCGGCCAGTGCTGATAATCATTAAAAACAACTAATGATGGAGCAACTACCTTTCCAGAGCAAAAACTAAGAGGGAATGACCTTCAGCTGCCTTAAAAGACCACCTTACAAAAGTATTCTCGCTAATAGAATTAAGTAGACCATGATTAGGGGACAGAACATGAATCAGTATTCTCCATGAATACTTTGAAGGCTAAAAATATTGACACCTATCTTCAGTTTTGTTTGCTTCTTCCTGAATTTTCCGACGGAAAGAGGAAGTAAAAAGAAGTGAGTCAACTCGCACAAGATTCTTCTCCTTGGCCCTTAAAACATCCAGCTTAAATAAAACAAGTAAATAGATAATAGCTTGGTAGAAATATATAACCGCTAACTTTCCCAACGTTGGCTGAAAATGCTTGGTATTCAGTTTGCTTTCGACGCCTAGTCTAATTACTTGTTAAGCGCAAATATCAAGCGATATTGGCTTGGATTCTCGGGAGTAGCTAGGCACAGAGTTACAAGTGTTTCCCTTTCAATCCTTCTTGAGTGCGCAGAACACCCAAAAATATCGTATACCTATTATTTGTTATTCTCCGTGAAACAACATGAAGGCTTTCAAAACTAATACTTAAGTGTGAGAATACAAATCACCCTTGAAATGGGTGTATGTTGTTATTAACGTGCTTGTTGGCTATTTTTCGCAATTGAGAGCAAAAATGACGATGAAAGTAGGAGAGAGAACTTTATTAAATGTGTGTTTCCTTTTCTAAGGGAAACCTTATTTTAATAATACTGTGTTTAGTTAAGGTAAAAAAACCACTGCAAAAACCGTGTACGAACAATCTTGCTCAACGTCGGATCCAAAAAGCTCGTGATTGGTCAAAATGTATAAAATTGAAAATATTACAGTCAAGAAGACTTTTGCAGGGACTGATCACACAACGTGCCGTGAATAAAGTTAAGTTGCGACATTTCGACTGGCCAATACCAGTCTTCATCAGGTTTATTGAGATATCACGAATTTACAATAATATACATGAAGTAAAATAATGACCGGAAATTACATAATATGACGTGGTAATAATAATAATAATAATTAATAATGATGATAATGATGCTGCTGATGATGATCATTAGATGATGATATTGATTTAAACGACGCAATGTATGCGAATTAACTGCCGTGATCAAGCTTTTTATATCCAAACAGAATGCATAAGTATCCTCACAAGGATAGTTTCGAACTGAGAGTCCGTAAGTGTAATCGATATAATTTTTTTGTGTGTTTAGAAGCTGGAAACTCTTGGACCAGAAAAGAGAGTATCGCAACCAAGCAGACAAACAAGTAAGTTTTTTTTATTATTTGAACAAATGCTAATGAAAATTTTTTATCAGGGATTCAGCTATGACCTTGTAAGAAAAATCAAACACTTGTTTGCTGAATTCGTCGACGAACAGTCGCCCATTTCTGGTCAAATTTTTCATTTGACTTCAGGAATCTCAGTTCGAGAAAAGTAAAAACAGGTTTTTAGGCAATCTCATATTGGCAGACAGTGTAAGCTCGTGTCTGTTGTACAAGAGGCGATAAACAGAAAAAGTTGGCAAGCGCCCGATTATAAGTGTCAATCTGTTTAAAATGGTTGGCCCTTGTTAAATAAAACTGAGAGATTTAGCTCCAGGGTTCATTGAGTTTCGCGTATGCAAGCAGCCCTTAAACGACAATGTTATGAAACACATGGTGGTCATGATTCCTAATCGCCTAATATATATTCCACGCTGAGGCAGTCACGCCTTGAACTTAAATTTTAAAAAGCTTGTTTGCAGTCAAACCTCTCCAAAACGGCAAGAGGTGAGGTCTTTCCACGACGGCCATTAATGAGGAAGCGATGAAAATCTGTTGTACTTGGGTAAATAAGTAAATGACGATGAAGACGCACATCCAGATAGCAGTCCCGGCAGTTCTTCGTCTGCCTGGTTTCTGGGAGAATTGGAGTTTGGAAATGTTGGTTTTTGGGAAAAGAGGGAAAAACTGATGTACCCAAAGAAAAACCCCTTGGAGCGAGGACAGACCCAACAATAAACTCAATTAATTAACCCACGCTGTATGGTGTCGACGCCGTGATTTGAACAAGGGCCATGTTGGGAGGCCAGTTCTCCCACCATTACATAGCTGGCTGCACGACATAATTTCTCAAGATTTCTATTGATATGCCCTAAAAAAAGCTTAAAATACTGTATATTTGTCCTGACCTTTAGTGTTACAGTTTCACTACCGTCTGGCCACAGCGGTCTGCCATCTCTGTTCCCGGAACAGAGATGGCAGACCGCTGTGGCCAGACGGTGGTGAAACTGTAACACTAAAGGTCAGAACAAATATACAGCCGAGGTGGCCATTGTAGATTCAACTGTATTTTTTTCTTGCAGTGTTTCTCCTGGAGCCAGGAGGAAAAGGTCGATGCTTAATGAACACGGAATTTGCAGGCCATACGGTCGAATATTCCAAAACGGTGGTTACTGCAAATCTGTCCTAAACAATTTGCCGGTCTACGGAAAAGATCTAAGCGAGCTCTACGTCAATGAAAGAAAGTTTCAGCTTTATCAAGTGGCAAAGGATTTCCTTTTGAAAACTCGTGAAAATTCAACGAACAAGCCTTCAGTGATGTTAGACTCTTCTTTCGAGGTGCGCCAAAGCTGTCTGAAAGCGGTCGACGATATATATTGCCACCATTACTTTAAACGCTGTTACCTTTCCAGTGGTCCTCAGATTCTTTGCAGAGAAGCGTGCCAGGATCTATTCTTCAGACTATGTAATCGGGAATTCAAACTAGTCTCAGACTTTAACAAGGAAAGGCAGTACCAGACACCAGAATATCCCTTTTTTTGGGACATCATTAACTGTACAATCTTGCCGTTTCAGAATGAGTCGAGTAATTGCTACTACCCGGACAAAATCCGAGGTTAGTTTAAAAAAACAGGACCCTAGAGTGATAGGTTCCTGATAAAAACATTCATATTTGCCTTTCTACGCCTATTCGTAGCACATATTCTTGTAGGTTAATCAGACTTCAAATGGACAAACAATGAATGCCAGACGGCTATGTACAAGCACGGCCGAGGAGTTGAAATCGTGGTTGACGAGTTATTAACTGCGATTTAGACTGACATATATACTTCAGATTGCATGTACAGCGCGCATGCTCTGACCACGCGGCCGTTTACGCTCTCGTCCCTAAGGTCCGATCTTTTTAGTCAGCGCTCTCGATCCGCGGCGCTAACCAAAAGGATCGCACAAAGGAGAATGGGCCGTTTAATAAATTGGAATCAAGAAGTTTGAGCAACATAAGGAAAAATTTTAATATAATGGCTCAGGGGATACTAACTTCTTCTTCTTCTTCTTCTTTTAAGTTTTGACCAGAAAAGCTTAACGTGCTGGAAAGTGAAGGTAAGTTAGATAATCGTAGGTAAAAAAAAAAAAGAGATCAAATTAGACTTTAGCTACTGAATTTACGTTGCAACAGAGAGCGTTAAACTCGAAAGAACACATTAACAAAAAATCCCTTGTCCTTTTTGATGCGTTTTTCTTGTAACTATATTGCCAAAACACGGAAACTAACTGTTATTTTTCTGATTTCTCGCACTTTGGTGTTTTCGACTAAATTAGGTTGACTGGTTATTTAAGTGCATTACTATTGTACAGTTTAATACAATGAAGTTATGGTGAAAACTCATACGTATCAACTCTTACCACAGGTTGTTTCTATGGCGACGGACGTGGATACCGTGGCAACATAAGTACTACCATTTCAGGTTACACGTGCCAGTCGTGGGACTCACAGTACCCTCATGTGCACAAGATGTTCACTGGACAAATTTATAACGAGATCAGAAATAGTAGCAATTACTGCCGCAATCCAGGAGGACTAAGTTTGAATGGACCATGGTGTTACACTACTAATAAGACCGTAGAATGGGAACTCTGTGATGTGCCTAAATGTGCCCAACAACGTAAGTACAGTATTATAGTCCTGGCGAAAACCGGACTCCAGTCGAACATCTCATTACGGACCTCTCTCTTACAAAGAACTTTTAGTACTAAGACAAGAGCGACTAAGGAGGACGAGATTTTCCAATGTTAAGTAGTGCACGAGCGTGAACCAGAGTCATTATATTTTGGCCGGGAAACGTGGTAGCCGTCGTCAGTCTACCACGCCCAGTTTAAGGGAAAATATCGTAGAGGCGGGAACAAGCCATCCACTGTTAGAAGTTTTATCATTTTGCGATCGGGAGAGGTCTTAACTTCCTTAAATAAAAATTTTCGTTCTGACCTTTCTGATGGAAAAGGTACAATGAAGCTCCCCGGGATGTTTTCATTTTATTTATCAATTATGTTAATTTCGATCTGTTACCGTTCCAAAAACACACCTACATCTTACAGATTTTAAACTTTACCTCTCTTCTTCAGCCCCTTCCAGTCCACCCAGTGATTTTCGAGGTCACAACGTGAGTTCAACTAGTGTTAAAACTTTTTGGGGAGAAGTACCAAAACCCTCCATACATGGAATACTTCTTGGGTTTTACCTGCTTTGTGAGAAACTAAACTCGTCAAGCAGACGTTTTGCTAAATTGGCGCCCGAAATTCGTACGTGGGAGTTAAAAGGCCTGGAAAAATTCACAAATTATAGCTGTTGGTTGAGGGCTTTCAACAACTTTGGAAACGGTATTCAGTTCTATATTCAGGAAGACTGAAAGAGCATAGAGAAAGAGGAATGAGAGATAAATGGCTTGTACCAAATTTGCATGCTGCTTATTGCATTCTTAGTCCTCCTGCGGGAGGGTACCCTTTGTGTTAGCCTGCTCTCATACTTTCTTTAGATCCATATATTAATCTGCGTTTGATTCGCTAAAAGAGTCCTGGAGATATGTAAGTGCGCCATTTTCGGTAAAGTATAGTCAAAATAACAAACAGTCGAACGTAAGTAAGTTTACCTTGTAATCAAGAGGAGCCATGCAGTCTCACCTTAAAATACAATGAAAGTATCTGGTTGTCTTTTTAAGCTCCAAGCGCTCCGCCTGAAAAGTTAGAAGCCTGGAATATAAGCTCTACCAGCTTGTACATGCAGTGGGACCCAATACCCACCAACCAACGTAACGGAGAAGTTCTGGGATATAACGTAGAGATAAAGCCAGATGATCAAATGTAAGGGGGAAAAACAATAGAAGCAATAAACTTCACAACATCTCTGTCACTCACATTCAACACGCTTAAAAAATATTGCAAATATGAGGTCAGTGTGTATGGGTTGACTCGACGTGGAAAAGGACCAGCTCGGGTTTTAACAGTGCAGACAGCTGAAGATGGTAAGCTTTCCTAGAAAAACCTTTTGTACCTCAGAAAGTGCAGGTGGCGTTTTTATTATCCGGTTGAAATATATATAACTTGTCATGCGCCGTCGACGACAACATATGGTTAAGAAATAATAACGAATGAATTGAAGCATTTAGATAGTTAACCATCTCTAATCCCGAATTTCCTGTTCCGTGATGGATACACCATCTAAAGTAGCGACGCGTCTTCAATACCGATTATACTTATAGACTAATAGATGCCTAAATCTCGGGTGTCCCAACGGTACTGTATCAAATGTTTTGAGTAAAACTGTATGATGTTAGGAATTATAAAATAGGGGCTTTCAAAAGAAAGGGAATCAAGCATTGTATATCATACCAAGGGCAATGAACATTTTACATGAGTTGATCTATTGTCTGGTCACTGGCATTGTGACAAAAGCAGCATTTACGCAGTTAAGAAAAGTTTTCGACAAGTAATTCTCAGCCAGTTTAAGGACACATACATACAAAACTTCATATTTACGTTCAGTTCCAGACCAGCCTCCAACCGATGTAACGGCGTTTAGCCTGGGAAAATATACGGTTCAAGTTGCATGGAACCCAGTACCCTTGGAATACGCCAATGGAGAGGTGCTTGGATACAAAGTGTTTTACAATGATGTGAACGACACCGCTCGAGTTAATAGCACTGTGGTCTTGCCAAAGAAAAATCGTTTAAAGATCCAGAAATTGCGACCTGGCACAAACTATAGCGTCCGAGTTCTTGCATTTACGAGGAAAGGGGATGGTGTTAGCAGTGCGAAGTACTACGTTAGAACCGTCCCAGGTAAATAACGTCGAGAGCTAAGTAACGACGCAGTGTGAGGTCATAATTTTTTAGGAGGCTGAAGAGGGGGACCAATTAAATGCACTTTTCCAGTGTTTTAGAATCAGCAGGTCATTCTTGGGTTCATGCACTGAAATGGAACACCAGGTTATTATTCGCAGTAATGACCACATGTTTCACCCTAGTGACCTAGGTTTTTCATTTATTAAAAATAATAAACAGCTGCTCAAAACAATGGAAAGATGCATTAACTTCAGCTACATTAAGTGTAATTTATCGCACTCTCAGCCTTAATTTTTCAGCTCAAATAATACATTAAAAAAGCAAAGTACAAAGCGCTGGAATGGAAACAATTAAAAACGTTTCGTTAAAGATTAAAGACATTTTTATTATTTTCCAGACGAAATTCCAAGACGGATCCCAGATAAGGTGCCCAGTTCAGCAGCAAGTATAACAGGTAATGATAAGAGGTTTTAATGAATTTTACCAGAGGCATACGCTTCTGATTTTACCACAAAGGGTCACCAGACATAAGTAAGGTTTGTTCAACATGTAAGAAGATTAAATACATATTTTATTGTAATCACCATCTTAATCTTGTCTATCTATCACGTTGCAGGAACTGTTACTGCTGCTGTCTTCTCCGGTATAGTTGGGGTCGGTGTGGTTTTCTTTGCAATTTACTTTGTCAGAAAGCGTAGAAGGTCAGCAAACGCACCCAATGGAAATAATGGTGTGTAATAAGCGATTGCCTATTAGTAAAAAAAATTAGTGTGTGTAATCAAATGGTGACGAGTGAAATTATGGATTAATTTCACGCGCGTTTTGTCCAACTGCTAATAATTTCCCGAGCCTTTAGGCGAGGGAAAAAAGGCTCGGGAAATTATTAGGATTTGGAAAAAACGCAAGTGAAATTATTCCCTAATTTCACGAGTATACCATTTGATTACCTATTAATATGGTGAAGAATTACGTTAGCAATCTTGGATTTTTGACATGTTTATCCTGGATGGTATCGATCGAGAACTCCACTCTGTCAAATGTTTAGACCTTAAATTTGGCTTATATAGTTCAGAGTTTTTCAGACCTTTTCGGAAAAACACCTGTTAGAATCCTTCTTGATATTCTCTTGTGTGTTCAGGTTTTCTAAAGCGTCTTTTTGTGCCCTGACATCTTCATTCAAGGCATTTTAAAACTTCGTCGCTATCTTGACACTGAGACGTACGGAAGGGTTGCCATGGCAATTTTGTAATTCCACATGTGAAATTACAAATTAACACTGAAATTTCGCGCCAAAATTAAGGAGTAATTCGTCACCTATGATATTAGGACAAAAATAATTCGCAAATTATTTTTTTCCGTATTCATTACTACATTACATAAAGCCTGTTCACAGACATTAGAGATCGTCAAGGGCGCATACCAAAATTAAAACCGCTGCCCGGTCTCTCACGCGCTGTCAAATTGTCAAAAAAAGGAAAAAAAAAACCGTCTGTGGACGACTATACAGACAGCCATCCAGGTGAAAGCTTTATCAAACTATTCCTAAAATTTCTGTCCGTAAAGAATGAGTGAGTTTTAATTGCAGGTGACAGTTTAACAATATAAATTTTTTTTTAAATATAAAATTAAAAATATACCTTTAAACTGTCTTTATTCACTTACAGGTTTAATTTGTCCTTATGCCATTTCATCAACGGGCTGGATTGAAAATATCATCGCTAATCGTGACAGATACGAGACTTTGGATAATGAAAATGTTACCTCGAGATCTCGCGGAAAAGTTCAGTACGTAAACATTGCTCTGGATGGCTCCCTGAATCTTCCACCGTACCTGAGGGATATCGTTTTTGAGTTTGAACGGTGTTATGAAAACACACATTACAAAAGGTTGCACAGGTAAGGACAAAATTGTTCAGTAAGAGGCCGTTTGTATGGAGAAAAGTTATCCCGGGGAAGAGGGTCAACATTATATTAGAGTGCGTTTATATGAGGAAAACGTTGACCCGCCCTTTGCCTTGCCCGAGTAAAAGAGATCGCACATGCTACGGTCCTACCTTGACCTCTACATGTAGTTGACCCGGCTAGGTGAGCCAAAGTTTTTATATTGAAAAAAAAGGGTGACCCACCTTTTAGCCGGGCTATATCTTTTTGTTTCCCATGTAAACGGTTTACCAATTTTTGTAAGGAAATGTTCGAAACGTTTGCTCTCTAAGAGTAGCTTGGGTAGGTAAGTGATCCTTCTGCTTGGCGTAGGTTTTATTCGAGCTCGGTTCTCACTCTTTTTTTGTAACTGATTCAGTTCTTGAGATGGGTTGTCGTAGCATGGACAGTCCGTACTCTTAATTTGATGAAGAATGGATTTTCATCCTCATAAGGACCAACCTATTCTGCATTAATTAAATTTTGCCGCACGGGTGCATGCACGGTGTGCCAATAAGTATGTAAATTTAGTCTACGGAAAGTAAATCAGCTCAGAATTGGTAACCGTTTACACTCACGTAGCCAGCATCTATGCAAATTTATTGGAACAAAAGAAAGCGTTTGCAGAAGAAAAGAGCTTAACTCCCACAGGGTTGCTTTGGAAAGACGGCATAGCCTCCGTTTCATTATTTTGGAATACCAATATGGTCGCCCGACGTCATGGGATAACGCCCTGTAGGTTTTTCCTATAATTAGACACTAAATAGATGATGTAAAGTAATCCTTTCTTGCCTTTGACAAGCAAAAGTTCTCAGGAATGGATTCGGCCGTACTTAATGTTCCAAATGATTTATTTAACCAAAAACAAGCGTAAAGGGCCATTTGTTAACCTCTAATATTTAACAGGTTGTTGCCCGTAGCTTCATTCATGAAAGTGTCGATAAGCTTCTAAATAGGTCATTTTTCTGTGGTGTCAGGTTTCAGTAGCTGGATATCATTAGGCTCTTATCGGCTCCAAGAAAATTAAGGTAGCAGCGGATCGAGTAAAGTAACGCGAAAACCGCTTTGGGGAAGGGGAGTTGGAGGCAGATTGCGCGCTCGTTATTTTCTCGTGTATCTCTTAGCTAACGTGGCGTCCCAGCTACTATCTTAGGGCCTTTTTACATGGAAGCGGGGGACCCCAGGTAGGTGAGGTAACATGCACTGGGTACCTATCATGTAAACGTGATCAAATTAATATGAGAGATAGTATGGACAGGCGGGTTACCTCACCTAACTGGCGTCTCCCACCTCCATGTGAACAGGCCCTAAGAGGACAGGTTGAGACATCCTGTGGTACGGAATATTCCATTGGCATTACTTGACGTGCATTATCATAATTCGCTATTTGCACTTCCTTCAAAATACCCTTCATTTGCCCCCAAAATTTTACATAGCCAATATTTGCAACTTCTCCTGGATGCATGACACTAGTCTAAAGAGAAAATAAAGACAATGCTTATGCAAACGAAATCAAAGTGCATTACGTGAGATAGGCAAATGGAAGATAAGGTCTGGCGAGAAAATTATACGTTGAATGTAAGAAAAACTGATGATATACATTAAACTGGAGCTGTCTTGTTCTCCTTCCAGGAAAAGAAGGTCTATTGCAGGAGCATTAAGTACAGATGGGCACCCCATATACGATAAGCTGGAAAGAGTCCCTTTTCCCAGCAAAGCCTCTTACAACAGCCATTTTTCCAACAAGGATGAACAAGAAATGAGTACAATAGAGAGTTCTAAAGAACACAAGCACAACTCCATTGATCTGGGTGAGTTACGAACGTTTATGATGGCTTCTCAGGGCGACGTTTACTGTGCTGAATTGACAGAAATGGTTGATGTTGAGCAGGAGACACAGTGCCATCAGCGTCGATTCTCTGTTGATCTGGGTGAAGTAAGAGAGTTCATTGCTCTCAGAGAACTGAGGATGTGTCTTGAAAATGATACATCACGAGGAAATTCTTTTACGCCAGGCAGTGCATCCGTTACAATGTAAATTGAGACGTGAATTTCTTAACTATACTTCTGATACTTAATTAGATGAAAATTTGAACTACCAAT